ATTTTAAATTTCATAGCAAGCTTAGGCTACCACTTTGCCTCTGCACTGGCTGCCATTTAGCCCAAAAGTAATCTAATACTTTACAGTGTGCTTCTGCTAAAAAGACAAAACTGTACAGGCCTTCAGAAAAGACAAATCGTCTACATTTTTTAAGGACTGCACTTTTGATTCCTTTGCTGTGATCCTAGTATTAGCATTTTCAAAGTTTACCCCTTAGAATGCCACGAAAATAAGACTACAAAGTGCTTCTCCATTATGCTAAAATCAGCTCTCCAAAGCAATCAGATAAGAGGAACAGCACACAGATGACCTGAAGATATTTCCATACGTCACATCATCAGTTTCAGGATACATCAGACACTTCAAAGATCAACAATATCACTAATTTGAAATAACTGTTTATAGACCAGCTTTGTTAGTGACCTTGTTTAATCTGCTTGTAAGCACAATTCTTTTATCTAAGAGCAGAGGGCATGAATTACCACCACTGTGAAAATATCTTTTTTAGCTGCTCTCAGTGACTAGCTGTGTTTTAGGGTCGATTTAATTTGTATTTAGAGGACGAAGCTTCTGTAAAGCTTAATTATTTCTCTGTGTGGCTTGTATGATGAAAGCACTTACCAGTGAACGGTGGGGTTTTGGCCAAAATGCTGGCTTAGGGTAAACAGCTGAGATGTGGATCTGGGCTGTACACCCCTGTGCCAATTGCGGGTGTTGCAATCAGCATCACTGCGCTTGAACAGGACAAGCTGGGAATCAGGCCGTGTCCAAGTCCCATGACTAAATGAATTCAACCTGCCTTCAACACTTTTTTTATTTCAAAACGAACACAGAAAACATTCCAGAAATTCAAATGGTGGAGCTGATTTAAAATGAGTGCTTGAAATACACACACCAAAAATGAAAAGAAGGGCCTGGAGGAATGCCACATCTCCCAGTGTGCAATAGACTGCAAAAAACCATATGAAGATCCTCCTACATCTTATTCCCTGTTCCTTTTTCTGCTGCTTCTGGCCTCCATCCCTAGCCAGGTATTCAGGTGATGGTTTTTTCTTGGCCTGGTCACACATACTAGCATGTCTTCAGGCTCTCTTATCATCTGCTGTCTTGCCTTTTCGCCCCTTCCTCCCAAGCGAGTGGTCCACCTGGACCCAACACTTGGGGTCTATGTTGGGAAAGCTCCTGCTACCTCTGCCAGCTGATCTCATTTTCAGTGGCACCATCTGTCTGCCTCCCTCCTTGAACACTTTTAGCCCTCTGGCATTGCTTTCCTTGGTCACACCGAGTAACACAGCATCCTCTCCTGGCTAGAGGCCGAGTTCTGACTCAATCCTTTCCACTCATACTGCACAGTGCAACCAAGAGCAGTGGAAGGATACACAGTAATAACCACAGCGGGTTCATAATGATATATCAGCACCAGAAAGGCTTTCAATCAAGTGTCAGTGCCAAGCATTTCCAGCAGATTTCCTACATTGCCACACTTTAAGCTAGATTTGGGTGAAAAAATAACAGCTGAAACAGTTATTTGCTGGAAGCATGATCATTATTTCTGTACACACACACCCCCCTAACACATCTGGAAATGCAGCATATAATTCATTAAACTCAACTTTGGTTAAACAACTCCTCTTGAAATGGTGTAGCATCAACGTGCTCTGAGGATTTCAGAAAGGGATATACAGGCAGCCAACCATATCCATACTTTTTCCTTTACATGCATTCAGTCTGCCTTATTGGCCAGGTTGTTCACAGAATCACAGAATAGTAGGGGTTGGAAGGGACCTCTGTGGGTCATCTAGTCCAACCCTCCT